CGGTTAGAGAATGAGAGTAATCAACAAATAATTAATTGATTTCGTCTTCACGTCTTGCAATCTTGTCTTACATACAACACGAACGAGTAAAATGAACCGTTTCCCTAACAATTGTTTTTTTTTATAGAACACTGATAATTACTATAATGCGATTCGGAAAATATGTTTACATTTTTTAATTTTAATAAACACAGTAGTATCGCTGTGAGCCAATTTTTATTGCGTATAATATAATATTAATATCCCCAAAAAAACCTAACCGTGAAAAAAGGGCCAAATTCCATACCCCAAAAAAAAAATCAGTCTATCAAAGTAGTAATATCTACATTGCGTACAAGTCTGCCTTTTCTTTAGTTCACAAACTCACTTCACTCCTACTTTCATGAGCCACAATATTTTTTTATTTATATTGCTGAACACTTAGCCAGTTTCTGAATGGGGCATACAAAAGACTTGGCCACAATGTAGATAACACTACTTTGATGGGCTGACTATTTTAAGAGGGGAGCTGGAACTTTTTTTTTCTACTGAGTTCTCTCTTTCCCATCGCCCACTGAACACTGTATTTGAATACAAACGGTACTGATGTTTCATGCCTCATTTAGAAACTGACCAAATGTTAAGCAATAAAAAAAAATAGCGTGGCTCGTGAAAGTAGGAGTGAAGTGAGGTTATAGACTAAAGAATAGGCAGACTTGGCCGCAAAGTAAATATCACTACTTTGATAGGCTGATTTTTATGGTTATGGAACTTGGCCCTTTTTTCACGGTTAGGTTTTTGTTGGCGATAATATTGTCCATATCAAAAAATATTGAAAACTGACTAGAATCGCAATGGTTGCTACCGATAAATTTGCTGCTAAAAATAACAAAGCCATGTCTGCTCTTAGAGTAATATCTGTTGTAATCTCTTATCACTTTTATTTATCATGTTTCTGTTTACTTATACATAACCTATTTTGTTCTTCTTTCTCTGTGTGTCATGTGTACTAGTTAATATTTTGTACATTAAGTTTAATATACTCCTATGTATTTTTCATTTCTTTTTGCCTCGTGTGTATTGTTTTGTTACTTTAATTAATTCAATAAATAACAGGTTATGGGCCCAGCACGCTTCCACTGCGCAACTCCCTATCCTAGTCTGGTAGACAATTTTGTGGGGAAAAAAACAGAAACAGTACGTGTTGTAAGCTTTAGATTATTCGCGATTTGGGAACACGGCGATTGAACAGTAACTTGGAATCATTTAAGTAGTGCTGTATTTTTCTAGATAACGTATGTGTATGGATAAACAATAATAGTTTTACACCTTTTGGTATTTATTTGTTTAACGGGCTTGTCGCCCGTGTTGCTTAAATAACCCATATTAAATGTCGTCAAAGAATTCCAATAATATAGTAAAATGTAATGCATTGTTTATGGTTGTAGACAATATTTAACAAAATCTAACCATATACTTACAAAATTGTAAAATTATTAGAAATACACGTCTTAACAGTAGTTAATAGTTCTCTTTTTCAAATTGTGTCGGTATTGGTTGCCGAGTTTGTTAAGCTATCATGGCATAAAGCCAGCATAATGAAGGGAATTGTCTTTTTTTTCTTATCCAAGTGGTCACATAATGAATAAATTATTTAATGCGGTCAAATTTTATTATGACTGTTCCCCCTACAAATCATGATTTTTTAATCAAATTTTGAAATACCTTCCGAAAAAACTACCTCTTTTCTATGAACTGTGTTTTAAAAATTTGTAAAACTATTATCATAAGTAGGGCAGAGGACTTTTAGCATTTGCATATTTGTTTTGCGTAGCCGTATAAAAAGGCCAACCATAAAGAAATTTGTTTTAAGTTATGGCAAAACCAAATCTGTAATTTTATGTTGCATATTTTTGCATATTTGGGTCTTTTTTGCTTTTTGAGGCATTTTTAAGTTATGTATGCTTTTTAGGGGGATTTTTTTCGAACATTTTCTTTAAAAATAATTTATCAAAACAATAAGCAGTAAAAAATGTCTAAAACATTGGAAATTTATTTTTAGAGTCAGAAGAATGAATATAAAATTATTAAAATAAAAAAATCAAATATTCAATATGCCTATCTTTAATAAATTATACATTAATTACAGTATAATTAAGTCAATAAATAGTAAAAGTTTTATTAAGCCAAAGTTTTTATTCTTTTATTCAGGTCAACAAAATGTGTCCATTGAAATCATTAATATGCTTCAATAACAAAGGGAACAAAAATAGTAAAAGTAATTTTCGCATATCCCTGGTCGTCCCTTCAGGAGTATGGCTAACATATTAATAATAAAAGAAAAACATTGAATTAGTAAGGCAGAAATAAGCTAAACAATAAAATGTGTAAATTTCAAACTGGGTTCTCCATAAAAACACTTAGAAAAACTAAAAAGAAAGAGGTAAAATTTCATTGATAAGTCGAAAAAACGGAAAATTATCTAATTTTTACACACAATTATTTCAACTAATTAGTTTACTGTGTTCGTTTTTCGATTTAAATAATATTCATTTATATATATAATAATTTATTCTTATCTTTCGTGCTATTGTTATTGTATTTGTCTTATCTTTTTAAACCTGATGTCAATTTAACAGAATATTTGATGTAATTTGTCTTAATTTTTTTAACTTAAAATAATTATTTCTATAAATCTATAAAAGAACTGTTGTAAAGATAATCTTGCGCCTTCAATGGCCCTCCACACGAGTATTCTCAGTGATTAAGTATTTCTTATCGAGAAAATATGAAAAAAAAACCCAATGTGAGAATGGCCTAAATTTAATCTATGATTAGTTCATATATTTCGTAGGGCGGCATATCTCAAAGGTGACAAAATTGGAGTTTGTCTAGGTTGAAATATTGTCTTACGCCGGTCTTGATAATTAATAATATAATTTATAAAACCTCAGTACTTACCTTCTTTTTCCATAATCGATTGCCTTTTCCTTACTATTCCTATTTCAATTCAAGGTCTGAAATGTATTTGAAATAATTAGTAAAATTAAATCGTTTGACTATCAGAAAACTATGGTAAGTTTATCTTTACCTATGACTCGCGTTAATGGCCAGTTATGATATACTATTATTAGTTACTGCCAGTATTATACAAATAGGACGATTTGCAGTATTGAGGATTCAATATTTTTTTTTAAAACCTACATAATAATCATTGTTATCAACATAATTTAGTAAACCCATATTTCATGTACATTTATCCTAAATAAGTTTATCAGAATTGTTTAGAATTAAAAAAAAAAAAAAAAACATTTAAATCAAAAATTAATTCTGGTAACGTGGAGTTTCGGATTAGATCATTTATTCGGCTATACGGTGCTATATCCTGTTCTTTTGCTAGACATTTGATTTTTATAACGGCTGCAAAAAAAAAAAAGACACTTAAATTGTTTTCAATGAAATTAAGATCAAACCCACACCACGTTGATATATTGTTATTAGGTCACCTAGATTAGTCACTACCTATACTGCATGTAAATAAAAAATGATCTTAAAATTTAAAAAAATAGTACCTATCTATGATGAAACGTTAAGTGTTCGATGAGAGTATTTTTCAGGGCTGTATAACATTGTATACTTACATAGTAGATGATAAATGGTAATGATCCAAAGTACATTGGTAGTTCTAACTTTTTTTTTTTGTAGTAGTAAAGTTATGAAATTTTTTTATTATAATACAATAACGGTAATAGCCTTTCTAGGGTACTCCGTTAAGAAATAAGTTAAATCAGAAGTTAGAACTCGGCTGACGACTCACGACTGAGAGTTGGTTTTTCGATATTCGAATAACAGAATGGTATCAGTGTGACCACATAGCAGATATCGATAACAACAATACATTTTGTAATATTATCATTTCTAGTTGGGCATTATCAATTTTGCAATGTTATCTCCGTCCCACAGGCCGCAACAACTGTTGTCTATTAGGTACAGTCTAGTTACTACATTTAATATATTTTATACTTACTTAATTGTAGAAGTTACTTCGTACTTGACATTTTGTTCCATAAGTGTGGATTTCAGTACTAACTACAAATTAATAGTTTTTGATATAACCGTATTTGAAATTTATAAAATTGGGTTCAGAAATTGTAAGTCACCGACTGGCTCTCGACAAAAATCACAAGGGTAATTATTTCTTTTCATTTCAACGTCGTTTTTATTATTTACCTATAATTAGATGCTTTTATAATTTTATTTAAATTTTTTTTGGTCCAGAAATACTGTTCTAATGGAGGTCGATCCGGCCGAAGTCCAACGACAGTTGGAAGCATTAGGTTATGAAAACATTGAACCGTATTTACTACAACATTTTATAAAAGGTAAACGTGAGTTATAGTTCAACATAGATTATGCGCCATTGACCAAATACAAATTAACATGTTGTTATATTTTGCACGACGGATATCTAGATCTGAAGAAATTAATTAAGTATGAAAAAAAACACGAGGACAAAGAAAACACATCAACGGTCAAGACAAGTACAACCAATAATAAATGTATAGATGCAAAACAGAAACTACCCGTTCCAGAAACAAGTTGTAAAAACTGGTGTTGTATAAACAAAAATAAAAATGTATTCGAACGATTGTCTTGTTCAAAATCAGTTTCGTCTGTAGGAGTTCAAACGGAAGAAAATTGTAAAAAACCAATACCAAGTTATTACAATATTATCATTGGTTTTATAAAGTTTTTAAATGGTGTTTTAACAGATTCAAAATATTCAGTCATCTTAAGAAAAAGACCAAGGGGTCCTGTAGCACTTCACCAGTTTTACCAGTTGGAGTGGCGCAACCATAAAGCACCGGGTGAAAAAAAACACGATCGGCTTAGGTGGACAATCAGACAAAATATGATGTTACGTAAATAACCCAGCTAAGTTATTATTGTTTAGATAATAATAATTTAAAACTAAACTATATTTTTGTTTATAGAAAATGTTTTTTTTATATATACACAATACTTAAACGATCGATTGTTTTAATTTTAAAAATAAAAAATATACAACAAATGTTATCTAGATATGTATACGAGGTATTCAAATTATTTTAAAGTAATAATAACGATTGAAGTCTTGAAAATTCAAATTCATGCTACCAATCTTCTTCTTCGTTGAATGAAGAGAAATTCTACAACAGAAATTTTTGTAAATAAATAAAATATAATTAAAACCTAAATAATATTGTCAACTTTACCAGTCTTATATCAGTTCCTCCAAACTGGTCACACTCGTCTGGAAGTTTTTGTTCGTTGATTTCTTTTCCTATGGTTTTTAGCCAATGAGGTATCTCTTGATTGGCCTAAAAATTTAACAACGATAATATCGATAAGAGTAATGATAAAATGTACACACATTTTAATGAGAATACCATTGCTAGTATCTTGATCAACGGTTGTGCCAACATGTAATCGTAATCGACATCGAAAAACGATGTAGCTTTCCCTTGATTTCCAACTCTACCGGTACGTCCGATCCGGTGTACATACTCTTCAATCGTATCGGGCAAATCAAAGTTGATTACGTGGCCGACATTTTTGATATCTACACATTGACCAAATATTAATTGAAATGTTTCATAAAATTAAATTATATTTTTATTAAAAATAGTGTACGATTCATGCGATTGATAAAGCGCAAACAATCAAAAAAATTAACCGTACAATAAAAATGTGGACAGGTTAACAGCATATTGGAGAATAGTTTCACAGTGCGATATTTTTTTTTTAATTTTAAGCTAATTACATCTTATCTCCCGATATCTACACTTATCCTATGGGGGTAGGTTATTCTATAGGCCTATATAATTATTTTTTGAGCTGAGCTCTTTTTCAAAACATACCTAATCCTCGTGCAGCCACCGATGTAGCGACAAGTATATTCCGCTTTCCAGAAACAAAGTCTTGTAAAGATTGTTCTCTATATTCTTGCAGTCGATCGCCGTGAATGCTTGTCGAAGGAAAGTTTTTTTCGCATAGATAAGTGGCTAGAAAGTCTGCCGTCCATTTATGTTTAACAAACACTATAGTTCCTTTGCTACGGTCAGCTAATAATTCAAACAAGTAAGGATTCATAATTAATTGGTTATTTACAATTTTGTTGTTTGCCTATATACCATCATTTAAAATATTAATTAGTGTTATTCGTTTTTTGAGCTTATTGACTTGACGAATATCCTGTATGACGTCTTTCGATGCACTACTAACGATGCCTACCGCCAAAAATAAATAATTCTTATTCAAATAGGATGCCGCCAGATGTTGTATGACGTCGGGCAACGTTGCAGAAATCATAATAGTCTGTCGCTTTATCTAAAAACAATAATGTTCAAACGGTTTATTAAAATCATTATAATAGTTTCCTTTGATTCAGGTACTACTTACGACTGAAGGCATGGAAAAATGATCGAGAATTTTATCCACATCAAATTTCATGTCCTCGTCTAACATCTTGTCGGCTTCATCCAAAACCAAAACTTTTACCGATGCGAAGGAGATGAACCCGTGTTGTATGAATTCGTTTAATCTGCCCGGCGTAGCGATGAGTATGTGACAACCTCTCTAATGTAAATAAAATATTATAATAAGCTATGTTAGTAGAATTTTGTTAAATAATATGTGCAGGGCTGCCATTTAAAACAAACAAGTGAAAACGGACAAACAAAATTTTATTATCTACATATTCTATAGAATATTATATATTATAATATTTTTTCTTTAATGTTTGTTTACAATTAAATATAAAGTAATAAATATACATGTATTTTTTTAATATTGAATTTAGATATATTTTACATGCTTGACTCTGCAAGTAATTATTTTAAAATAAAAACTAATTTAAAGCCTTTTTTGTTGGGGGGGGGGGGGTTTTAAATACTTACAAGAATTTGAGACTTTTGGTGAGGGACGAGAGTTCCACCGTAACACAGTAACGAAGAAATTCCTGTACCTCTAGCTAATTTCAATACCACAGTTTTGATTTGAACGGCCAACTCTCTTGTGGGTGCCATAATAACGACTTGCGGTTCGCTGTGATTGTTGTCTCTGACTACTTTGGAAGGATTAGCAAGTAAATTTTGTAGAATCGGTAAAACAAAAGCTACCTAGAAAATATATATAAATTTTAAATTGTTAGTTTAAAATATAAATAAATTTTACTAATAAATAATTATAAAAATTATTGATTTTTGCCAGTAAAATATGATAAAATATCTAATTGATCAGTCATAAACTACTAAACGATATTCATCAGCCACTTATGTGTTACGTAGCATTTGGATACGACATTAAACAATTGTTGAAATCGTAATAAATGTCATTAAAAATAAATACCCATTAGGTACAAGTTAAAAGTATAATTAAAAAAAGTAAAATGTTTGATAGATAACGAAAGTAGTGGAAAAATATACTAATCTAAAACCGGCCACAGTCAATTGTTGTAGTTTATATAGTTCCTAAGCGGTTCTATTGAATTATTCAAAAAGAATGTTTATTTGTAAATAGAATTATAATAAACTTCAAACCCCTTTTGGCTGAGACAGTTATGATAAAAATGTTTTAATGTAATAATTTAATGTACATTATGTCAACATAGGAATAAAAGATACAAATTTTACCCGAAATAAAATAAAAAGATGATTAAATGTAATAATGGTTTGTATATATTACTAACATAACTTACTTACCGTTTTTCCAGACCCAGTTTGCGCAGCAGCCATTAAGTCTCTTCCAGACAAGATAATCGGTAAAGTATGTTTTTGTATGGGAGTCGGCTTATGGAATTTACATTTCTTAATGTTTTCCATTAATATATCTTGCATGTTGTCACAGGCTTCGAAGCTTTCGATTCCTTTTGGCACATCTTTACCGCTTATTTTCACTTCAACTTCGTTTAATTTTTCAAAATTTATACCAGAATGAATTCCAGTTGCGTACAAACTTTCATCATTTTCATCGATTTCGGGAGGAACATAAGTTGATTTGGGAACAATATACACGAACCCATCGTTTACAGATTCTCTAGACAATTGCGATGAATTTATTAAATCATCTTCAGTGTCAAACATTATGAACAGCTGACACTAGTGTATTTGACACTATATTGCAAATCTGAAACAATTAAAAGCTATAATTGAATTACATTATTTTAGCTTATGTTAGCAATCAGTGATGGCGTTCACTGTAAAAGATAGAAGGTATATAAATGCCAGTCGTGATGATCTAGAGATCAAAACGTAAACTAATGTCTCGTGACTAATATCGGAAATTAAAATATACACTGTAAATGGAAAATGCACATATTGGGATTTGGCAGTCATTTTTTAGGATTTTGTAACAGTTTAATTGTTTTTTAATAAAAGCACTTTAATATTTATTGGTATGTATATCAAAAAATAAAAAATAAATAAATGTATTTATCAACCTTACAATAAAAAGGAAATAGATTGTTACACAAGCCCAGTGATTGAAAATGTTACCGAGCAAAAATATTAATAGTATGATATTCTGATAGTTTAACTGGTTTAACTTGTAAAAAAAAAGTCAATTAAAAACATTTTAAAGTTAAGATATTCTTTCTGGAACGAAACCTTTATATTGTTTCAAAAGGCATGATAAAACTATGAAATGTTTTTAATTAATTTTTTTTTTTTACAAGTTTAAAATTGGTTAAGCTATTGAAATACCAAGCTGTATACAATTTGAATCAACATTCGATGTAGTTATAACAAATAATATAAATTTTTGCTTGATAACGTTATCAATTCCTGCATAAAACGAATTGATTGCTACGGCTTATACAGTGATTGGCAAGTAACAATCATTTGTACTAATTAATAATATACTAATGTCTATAGGCATCACAAAATGTTATTAGAAATAATAGTAAATTACTTTAAAACTGAGCTACATGCGTTCTATTTCGATGACACGTATGTACACTCAATGTATAAAATTCATATGGAAATTTGAATTTCTTTGAAATTGTGCTTAACGACTGGCTTTGCGAGCAGTCAATCTATAAACCGGAAGGATAAACTTCTCAAGTATAGTGAATGTACTTACCCAATTTAAGTTATATCGTGCTCGTGTACTCGATCACAAGTCAGCTGTCGGTCAATCGACTTTTTTAGATTTTATTTAAAATTTGTCATTTTAAAACGCAAACAGACCACAAAACTGACACCACCGATCACGGTTAAAATTAATACCTTAAAATTTCAATAGAGAATGTAAATAATCTAAACATGATAAAAATTACAAAAACGTTATCTAAACTATTTGCATAATAATTATTTTGCCGGTTTTACTCCCACTTGAGCTGTAGCTTAGCTGATCTGTCAGTCAAGCTACGCAAGTGGGAGTAATCGCATGTTATGCAGGTAAAAAATAAAGTCTTAATAATATTTAAGATTGCTACCGTTATCATTACTTAAGACGTATGATAAGATGTTAAGTGATTACAAGACGTGACACTTCGTAGTGAACATATTGTAGTTAGACTCGAAAGTCGGAAGGAATCATAGATAAGAAATTGATTATTGTGTACCGTAAAATGTGGTGAATTGCGACCGAAGGGTGTTTTATAAAATATGCAGATTAGTCTTAAATTTTGGACTATTAATATGATTTTTATATATTATGTCAAAAAAAAAAAACAATTTTTAAAAGCCAGATTTTTATATAATATTATTATTGTATAAAAAAAAAAAATTTACCTCCGTGTCTTATCAAAAACATAATAGTCACATGATAACAATTCCTAATTCCTACTTACTTCTTCATTAGTCAACATGAAAACTCTTGGAAAATAATTATACACAAACGTATTATTTGAAAATGTAATGTTAAAAGTGTATTGTAATAAATAAAGTGTTCAGTATTTTGAGTGCTTGTTGACTTAAGTGCTTGTTATATTATTGTAAACTTAAACGGGTAAATGATATTATTAATTATGTAAATATTACTTATAAGAAAAATGTTTCTCAAACTTAATCAGCTATCAAGTGGTGCTTTAGTTGTGTAATTGCTAAGAACAGTTTTATTCCACTAGTTTCAAATTTATATCTGACAATTTTTGTAGAAGACGGTGCCCGTCTTAATCCCGTTATCGTCTATCTAGTCGAAAACTAATAGAGCGTATTTTATTTATTTTGGTTTTTATTACATAAGCGTAAAGGAAGTAGTGGAATTTAGAATTGAGGATTGAATATTAATTTTGAATAGCTCTTCAAACCAATATTTTAAAATAATAAATAATACAACATTTTGGGCATGGAAAACATGAAGAAGTCGGGATATTTTTATTTATATAAAATATATCATTATGTTCACCGACTTTGATTATATAAATATTATTAACAAAGAAGTTTGAATAAAAAAAAAAATCAATATTGGGTTTATGATCACAAGCCGCAGCAAGTCGTATCCAATAGTTAAGTATTTACATAAGTTTTACTTAGTTTCTGTATCATTATACAATTATTGTAGCTTTTGGAACTTTTTCTAAATTATAAAATATTTAAATGACCAAAATAAGAAATTTGTATTGCTTCATATTATAGTAATTTGCATGAGTTAACTGTTATCTTACTAATTTAATAAACATTATACCCTAAACATATCCCAAAACAAAGTTCCACGATTCCAGTCGTATAGGTTGATTTCATATAAATTTGAATTATGTTAATTCTGTTTTTTAGAATTAAATGAACTTTTTTCAACAGTGTTATTAAGGTAAAGATGGCAACCAAAAGTTCTATTTTTTTAAATAATTGCTTAATTTAAAATAATAACTAAAAATAAAGAATATAAAAAATATTTTAATAAAATATACTATTGACTGAAATTTCAGTGTAGTTTCTGCAGACTGTGACATCATAATCGAATAAATAAATAACCTAAAGAATATAATGTATAGAATGTATTTAATTTAATTACAGCTGCTAATATCTGCTGATACGCTGTTGAAGAGCACTAATTATAGTTTAAAGTATTGGTAAAAAGCGTCGCTGTGTTTAAAGTGTTACGTTGATCCCTAACCTACACTGTTAACGACAAAAAACATAGATCATCTACATTTATTAATATATTCTTTACTGAAACGTTCAATTATAAACTAATATAGTGATATTAAATATTAATATTGAATAGTATTCATGTTTCGTTACATTGGCAGTTAAATAATTTTAATATTTTTTAAATACATTTTTTATTAAATGAATTCCTAGGCTAGAATACAATAGTATTCTAGTACTCCTAATTACAATAAAAACAATTTAAATTTGCTTGCCTAAGGTATTACCTTACCTAATTATTTTTAAGAAAAAATTACAAAACAATTTATACATATTACACATGTTGGCGTACAAAACTTTTATACATAAATGTATCCATTAACCATGATTTTAACAGAGAGATTATTATAATACTAATTATATTTTTATTCAAACAATAATAATTTCCTATTTTATAGGAACATTGCATTTGCCTAATACTTTTTAATATAGTTGGTTGGTTATTTTACTTTGTCAGCTACCTATATTATTAAGCTGTCTTCCTGCAACACACATAATTGTGAGATAACGCATTCTTATAACAATGCCTAATGACTGACAGTTGTCTTATTGCCTTCAATTAATGTACTTTATGGTTCTGAACCAGATTATCTCGAAAGGTGGACTCACCATACATTTCTATAACCACTTATTATGTAGGCTCATAAAAGTGCCACAAGATTACAGATAAGGACTTTATTTTAAAACTCATGTTGGAGATACAACCCGAAGGCCACATTATTCTGGCAAAAGTTTCAGATATTTACCTATTCCCTTTAAAATCGATTTGAGTACATACGAATTTAACCCCTATAACTCATGAAAAATATCAAGTTTAGTACCAAATTTGCGGGGTAATTTTTTTTTTTTACATAATACTACGCTATATTACACCAATCAATTGCCCGAAAAGAAGTTTAATGGTTCGGGAATAATTATTATTGGTGAAGTTCATACATTTTGTAAAAACTAATAAATCTGTTATATAAATCACAAATCACGAATAACACAAACATTACTCGGTTTTGAACTTCAACTGGAATAAAAATTGTTTCCGTATAACATATAAACTTTTATAAATAATAAAGTTAATGACTAAACATGTGGCTAGTATCAGGGATAGAATGTCTAGAAGGTAGTATTCGTACCACGTGAGATCGAACGCTTTTGTCTTTAGATGTTGTGCACCATTATGTCGTACAAGATATCCCATCCAGTAAGCTGCTGATTTAGCGGGTGACATTGGGCGGTCCTTGAAACGCTTAGAAGCTAGTTAAGCGTTAGACGAGTACCTGATTTTAAATAACGAAAGTACAGATTAACAAATATGCCAATTTAAATATGCCTTAAAAGTATTGAAAAGTTAAATGTTATGTATAGGAACACAGAGTAGACCAACTTATAACTTTTGTATTATTATCTATCAGCAAAGATCTGGAAGATAGTTATTAAAGGAGGACCAAAATCCTTACATTTTGTCGTTAATTAGCTTATTAACAGATTCAAAAATTTTCATTTGCATCGTCCGATATTTCAATATTGTTCATTTATAACGTAATATTTTTTGCTGTGGTTTTTTTACTTTTTGTCGTTGATTAATGTGTTAACCGATTCAAAAATTTCAGTTTCAGTGACGGTCATCACGTCGAGTGAAATGGCCATTCCGGCGTCAACGAGATTATCAATGTTTCTCGGTTGATCGTAGAGCAGTGGAAACCCTAGCATTGGAACTCCGGCATCGACAGCTTCATACAAGCCAGATATTCCACCGTGCCCGATTAACAGGAAAAAAACTAACAAAAATATATTTATGTATACATAAATCTTATCCCTGATTCTTACAAAGAATATCACGTTGGGGGAACCACTTTTTCGTCATCACGTTGTCCGGTTTGTCTTCCATTTCGCTCTCATATTTCCACAGTATCCTCTGGGGGAGGCGCGCAAGAGCTAGTTTAAATGCGGTTGTTAATGCGGTCTGGAAATGATGACATTTTTACTGTCGATCCAAACGTGAAGTAAATAAATCCATTTGGTGAATTTTCAATAAACTCCCGTATATCCTAACGTAAATATTGTAATCAATTAATTTTATGAAAGTATTAAAGCTATTACTATTATAGCAGTATCTACGTGCGAGACATAGTGAACTGCAAAACAGGTGTTGTCCACATGCTCGGCTCAAGGGGAAGAGGGAGGGTGACAGGTGTTAAGTCAAATGAATAAAATGTGTAACATTTTATATGTGGAAAAAACATTATAATAAAGAAATTTATATTTAAATTTGTATGGTTAAGGGTTTTATGTATGTGGCTGATATGTAGATACAAAATATATAATTAGGGTATTACTTCACGTTGGAATACGTGAAGTAAATAACTCCATTCGGCGAATTTTCAATAAACTCTCGTGTGTCCTGAAGTAAATATTGTAAACAATTAATTTTATGAAAGTATTCAAATTTAAAGCTATTACTATTATTAGCAGTATTTATTAATTAACCGTAATCATAAGCAACCCAAGACCTAGCATTAACGAGATGTCTATCACTTCTGAAACACGTGTATGACATTAATTAAGTAGTTTGTGTAAAAATATTAGCTTTGAATAAGATTTTTTTTTGTTTCTTAAGTGGTGTTGTCCGAAAACTCATATTTTAGACTTTCCTTGCTAAAATCGTTTGTTATTAGTGGTTATGTAAGACTCACATTTCTGATAAAATTTTAGTGATATTTATTAACGAGTTTGCTTAAGAATCCTTTTAGCTTCGATGCAAAGCGAGAAGGTATTGGTTTTACTCTGATGTGTGTTTTTTTTTTATCTGTATACACTGTAACTTCTTTAATACTGGACCAATTCTTTCGAATAGCAACTCTATAAATCGCAATTTTCATCTAGTTGGTACTTTGGGGGGGGTAAAAGTAGAAAAAGTTTACTTCTTCACAGACGAACTTTGGAAAAACCAAAAAAAAACCGTACGAGTTTTTAAGTTAGAACTTTTACTGGCTATAATTTCGAGAAAAAGAGTCGGATCGAGTTGCAATTTATAAAGAATAATTATCAATATTTGAAAGTGATTTTATTCAATTTTATCACTTTTATTTATAATAGTTCCTGTAGACCTGTGACCTCTCCGTTTCCTCATTGCTTTGATTACATTATGCCTATACTCTACTGTACTAGTCCTCTCGGATAAAATCACTTTCAAATTAACGCTTTGATGCTCATTTGTAAATACAGAACCTTAATTTAAAACTTTCTAACTTTTCTGGTTTATACTGTGCTTGGTTTGGACTGTACTGGCTTGAAAATACTAACTACCGATTTGCA